CGCACTGATGACATAGGACGTTAAGACCCCTTGTTTAGCTACTGAACTGCTCATGTGCGGTCATGCAGCTGAAGTGGCAGAATCCTAACACAGAGTCCTTCCATTTTCCCCAGGGGTGAATGGGAACAGCTGTCCAGTCTCCGACCACATTGAGAAAGAGAGAGAGAGAGAGAGAGAATGCACCCTATCCTCAGTTTTAAGCAGTCGCATACCCAGAAAAAATCATGCCTCTATCGGGCTAGGTACCCCAAGGTCATTGGTGGAGAGAATTCCCACAACAGTTTCCTATGCAGTCAGTTGGAATAGAGGGGAGGGCACATGGTTTGCCTGCTGATCCCTGGTGCAGGGCACTCCTGTATTGTTTGTACCCTGGGAATGTGCGAAGGATCTATGAGGCCAAGCACAGCCCGTCCACCAACCAGCTGCTCTCTGCCCTGACAGCATCTCACCCAGTGCTCTGGTCACCAATCCATCTACTTTTGCCCAAGTTCAAAACTGATCCATGTGCCTAGCCATGGCTGTCCAGCAGGAATACTCTGCATTCAGTAGGAAGTAGCATTGTGCTGGGAGCCATCCCTGCCTTCTGAGGCTAGGTCTTATCGGCATGTGATTAACTCAGTCTTTGCAGAACAGGAAGGCTGGGCCAGGTGACTTCTAAGACACTGCAGTTCTGCCTGATCAGAGGTTCTCAGGATGGGGCATATCCAAGACCCCAGGATGGCAGGAACCTCACACTGGGCAGGTGGGTGGGGCTGGATTCTGCATCTCCAGCAAGCCCCAGCTGGTCCTTGAGAAAGGCTGCTCCAACAAGCCTGGCTGTGCTGGTTGTGTGCTGGGATCACTGGGGTTTCTGCCCAGTGCTGGAGTATTTAAATTAGCTGTGGAGCTGGCACCTAGCTCTGCTTCATTTTTAAGTACCCAGGGTTAGGAACCAGTGTTCTAGAAAACCAGCCAAGGCCCGTGTGTGTGAGTGCACATTTGGTCAATGACTTGTTTCTCTTGGGGACATTTATCTTGGCTCCCAGGTAGAACAGCTTCCCCCAGTTTCCCTTTCTGTAAGGACGTTGGGAGGACACAATGGAACTGCCTCTCTGTGTTCTCCTCCCTTTGTCTCCAAGGAGAACATATGTGTTCAGTTTGAGTACAATTCAATAAGCATTAAAAAAACAAAAACGAAAACCAAAAAACCCATGATGGTGCCAGGCATGGTGATGCATTCCTTTAATCCAAGTACTCAGGAGACAGAGACAGGAGGCTCTCTGTGAGACTGAGCCCAGCCTGATCTACAGAGTGAGTTCTAGGACAACTAGGGTTTCACGGAGAAACCTTGACTTGAAAACAAAAACAAACAAACAAAACAAATCAACCAACCAAACAACAAAAGACCCATGATAACAAGATGAATTAGTGATCCATCCTCACTCCAAGGTGCTCACATGCATACAGTGTGTGTGTGTGTGTGTGTGTGTGTGTGTGTGTGTGTGTGTGTGTGTGTGTGTTTATGTGAGTGGGGGATGAGGCATGTGTCCAAAATGTGTGGTAAGATGAGACAAGGTCTCTAAGGAAGTCATCTTGGTTCAGTCCACTCTACGGTTTATTTTAATCCAATCCTATGAGGTCACTACTATTCTAATAGCGACTCCATGGACAAAGAAGTGAGATTTAAAGAACCAGGCTTCACCAAGTGTGGTGGTGCACACCTTTAGTCCCAACACTTATGAGGCAGAGGCAGGTGGATCTCTGTGAGTTCTAGGCTAGCTAGGACTTCATAGAGAGACTTTGTCTCCAAAAAACCAAAGGTCTTTCCCTGAAGAAAAGAATCAGGCATTGATGGGGGTGAGGCTAAGAGGACCAGCAGGTTCACACCATCAGCAATACCAGGAGAAAGCTTCATGGGAGAAACAGTTCAGAAGTTTGTTTTGAAGGATGTGTAGAGTTCAACCTTGAAAAAGTGTTGCTAGAGGTGGTGGGGACCCTCATCCACAAAGCTTGGAGTCCTTAGGAACCTGGAAGTGATGTGATTTGCTTTGTGAACCAGGCTGAGAGACTTAGATTTTATATCTCAGGTAATGGGAGCTCTTGAAAATCCTTCAGCAAGGGTGGCATTTTAAGAAAAGGCTTTAGCACTGCCCACAGAATCAACTAAGGGCTCATAGGGGCCCACAGAGACTGAAGTGGCAATCATGGAGCCTGCATGGGTCTGTGCTAGGTCCTACATGCAGTGGATGTTTAGCTTGGGGTGTTTGTGGGACTCCTAACAGTGGGAGTGGAGGTGTCTTTGACTCTTTTGCCGGCTCTTGGGATCCTTTTCCTGCTACTAGGTTGCCTCGCCCAGCCTTGATGTGAGGGTTTCTGCCTGGTCTTATCGAGTCTTGTTAAATGCACGTTTGGTTGATATGCCTGGGAGGCCTGTTCTTTTCTGAAAGGAAACAGAGGAGCAGTGGATTTGGGGGAGAGGGAAGATGTGTGTGGGGAGCATGGAGGAATGGAGGGAGGGAGGCTGTGGCTAGAATGTATTGTATGAGAGAAGAATAAATAAATAAATTTTAAAAATGTTATGTGTTCAAAAAAAAAGAAAGAAAAGGTTTTAGAGATCATGGTTATGGGAAAGAGGGAGCTGCAGGGGATATAATGGGAGGGAGGAAGCTTCAGCAAGTGGTCCATCTGGAGATACCTGTGTGTAGGGAAGGATAAGAAATTGGGCACATGTGGGTGGGGTTCCATGGTTACATGAAGTGTCCCTGGATATGGAACACTTCTGTGTACCTGTCTGTTGATTGAGCTATTTTTTTTTTTTTAAATCAGGCTGAAATAGGGCCAGGTGGGTCCACAGGGCTAGCCAGCAACATGTGCACTGCTAGCACATTTGGATCTGGTCAGTGGTCATGGAGGACTTGGCTGAAAGCCCAAGTATTGGGTTCCTGTGCCAGCTTTGAGCTGGCCACTTGCCACACTCCCAGGATGAGGGTGGAGAGCTGGCCTGGTGGCCTGAGTACTCCTGGCTCCAGCCTTCCAGCTGAAGCATGTCACTCTGCCTGCCTCCCACTGCCAAGCTGATAGGCTCTGTGCGTCAAGGCCGGTGCAAACCCTCCAGGCTGAAGCCAGTTCCTAGAAGTCAAGTCTGGTTTGGGAAAGGGCACAGGGCTAGGATCTTGCCACTTGCCTGTGACTGGTGACCTTGGGCATGTTCCTTAGCCACTCTGAAGCCTAGACTGGGACCTTAAACGCAGCCCAAATGGGCTGACCATCCACCTCTCCCAGCCCTCCTCTCCCCAGAACCTGTTGCATTTTCCCTCACACAGTATCCCTGGGGAACGTCAAGATGGTTTAAGGTTGGATGGAACAAGCCATTTCCTATGTTTTAAAGTCCAAGGCCAGGTTAACAGTTTTTATCACTCTATGGACTTGGCAGTATTGATGCCCATTTTAAAAATGGCACATGCATGGCCAGAGTCTTCCATGACTGGTCCAGGATGGAACATTTGGATGGTGAGAGCTAGGACTGGAGCAGAGATCTCTTACCCAGTCCCTCTGCCTAGCATACAAACAGTCCCTGAAGGAGGCTGTACCACAATGGAGCCACCCCCAGACCCAGGCCCTGGAATCAAAGGGTAGACAGTACCCACCCGGTCCACACATAGAAGTCAGCAGAAGAAAGTGCTTCGGCCTAATGAACTTCCATCTCTTCCAGGCCTCACCCGCCTCCCTGCATGCAGGCAGACTCCAGCTGGAGTTTAGAAGCCTTGCTTTGTTTTCCAGCTTGTTTTATACTAACCTTCTATTTATGGCCTGGGACACGGGCTTCCCATGTAAGGCAATGACATTAATGAGACTCTGAAAAATGTGTTGGGGGTAGCGGGTCTTGGAGTAAAGAAAACATTAAGAAGTATGTGATCTGTGGAAACAAGAACGCCTGGTGTCTGGCCTGGTTCAAAGCACTCCCTAGCATTGCATGCCCTGGCTCTGTCCCGGATAGGCAGGGCCAGTGTCCCACGACACCGGAGGCCAGGGGAGGTCTCCCTGGACAGTGTCCTCTGAGCTGCATCCATTGGGCAAGGTGAGTCAGGGCCCCTCGTGGCTGCACGTGTGCCACCCATGTGCTCCTCAGGCCAAGAGCCCGCAAAGGAAGCGGCGGCCTGGCTTGGGCTCCCGGCGAACCTAGGTGGGCATCTGAGGGTGTATGGGGGTGGTTCACCGAGGGCAAGGCTGGGGGGTCAGGGACGGGTTCCCACGGCCTGGTCTGGCGTGCGGACGAGTGCGTGCGCAGTGTCAGCCTCCTAGGCCCGTGCCGTGCGGCCTTCCGGTCACGGTGCGTGCAGCCGAAGCCTCGGGACATCCCCCCACAGCCCCAGCCCCACGCGCCGGGGCACGCGTAGCTCTAGATTGCCGCGGCCCAGAGACCAGGGCGGAGTGGGGGCGGAGCCTGGCCTCGGGACCATCCGCTGATTGGCCACTTGTGGCGGGGGCGGGGTGCAGGAGGCCAGACGCCAGCGCTGGGCAGGTGGGCTCAGGACGCATCGCGCTAGAGGGCCCAAGGCAGGCGCAGGAGGTACCATCCGGAGCCAGAGCTTGGGCCACTAAGGGAGGACCCGGAGACTTCGCCCCGACGCGAACAGCCGCGTTCGCCTGCGGGAGAGGGCGAGGGAGGAGCCAGCCCTAAGAAACTTCTCCTCCCTCCGGGAGAGGAGGTGCAGTGTCGAACCGTGCGGGCTTCGGGAGAACTTGGAGCTGCTGAGCCTTAGGGCGGCGTTCAAGGCCCCCTCCTACACGCGCGCTGAGCTGAGCTAGCGGCGCCTGGCGAGGAGCAAGCAGCGGTCCTTTCCACGAGGGTCGAGCTGCAGGACCGCAAGCAGCTCGGAAGGCCACTGCCGGGTGCGCAGCCCCTCTACCCTGCCTACGGCCACCCACTTGAGGGCTGGAGAAGGAGGCAACGTAAGGGACCAGGCGGGTTCTCAGGCTGGTCGTCACCTCCAGAGGACCCTCTAAGTCTGCGGGGTCCGTTCCTTCATTCCCGGAGTCGTCCTCCTCTCACCCGCCCGCCCCCCAGAGCGGAGCTCTAGGCGGGGACACCCCCGCATTGGACGTCCCCAAACCTCCGTGCACCTGGCTGAACCGGAGTCCCCGGTGTCGGGGCAGGGCAGGGCCGCCGGCGGCGAGCCGGAGCCAGCCCAGCGCCCTGGCCCCGCCGAACCCTCGGAGCCCACCCATGGGGCTCCGGCTCCGCGTACCTCCTCGCCCGGCCGTACTCAGCCCAGCTCCGAGCGTTGCGCGCAGGAGGATCCGTACTCAGTGACCCTGGAACCCCCGCAGACGCCGGGAGACTCGGGGGCGGGAGCGGCAGGCGGTTCCCCGCATCTCCAAGAGCTTTCAGGCAGCCCTCCAAGCCGTGCTCGGGGCCCGGCCCGCTGTTCCCAGGTAAGGGAGACACCCCAGTGGAACGGGGGAGCTAGTTAGGTGGAGTGGGGAAACCGGCTGGGCAGAGGAACGCAAGCTGGGTGACGCTGGCTTTTCATGACGAGGGAAACTTAAACTGAACCTACTACGTGTCCCGATGCTTTATCCACGTAGAGAGTTAAGCTCACAAGAGGCCTAGCCTACATCAGGTGGTTTCTAGCCCAGGGAACAGGGTTTATTGAGCTCTTGTGTGCTCCATTTGTTTCTGGGAGCTTTTGTTTAGATCAAGAGCCAGTCCATTTTAAAAGGAGGCAACAGAGACACTCACCTTCCCTAGACTTAACCTCCTTTGCAGGACCACCCTGGAGGAAGAAAGATCAGGACTCAACTGCCTTGAGTCCCCTGAGCTTCGGAGCGTTTCCTTGCAAGATACCCTTGCCATAAGGGCTTCCTGTAGTCGGCCGGCCAGTGTGTGTGGGCCTCTGACAGGTCACAATTTCCTGCCCATCCCTGCAACCGGTCCCACGAGAATGAGGAAGGGACCTTCTGGGAGCTAGGACAGGGTCTGGAGCCATGGCCTGCTTTGGAGTCTCTAATTCAGGTTCCCCCTAAGCCCCAGAGGGACAAGATGGGGTCCCCACAAGTCCTCCATTGGGCTGGGAGCAGCCAGGTGGCCCATGGCTACTCTGAGAGACTGCCCCAAAGAAAAGAGCCTTGTGTTGATTGGAAAGGTTTCTGGGTACCTGACCAGGCTGGGCTTGTTTCTACCTGATGTTTAAGAGGGGTGAGCTGAGTGAGCAGACCAATTCACTCAGAGTTGCTGGGCTGGCACAAAGCAGAACTAGTTAGCCAGAAGCAGATTCCCTCTGCTCCCTGCCCTCCTGAGCTTCCCAGGATGGGAAGGGTGGCTTTGTAAAGCTCCTGGGACTCACCAGAGTGTGGGGGAAGAACCAGGACTACAGTGTGTGTCCCAAGAGGCTGCGGTTGTGCAGCTGGGTGGTGTGGTGAACCTGGTCTGGGGGCATGTGCAGTGGGCTGGTGTGGTGAGCCTGGTCTGGGGGCATGTGCAGTGGGCTGGTGTGGTGAATCTGGTCTGGGGGCATGTGCAGTGGGCTGGTGTGGTGAATCTGGTCTGGGGGCATGTGCAGTGGGGTGGTGTGGTGAACCTGGCTCTGGGGTGCACCCAGGGAACTCATTCAGACTCATCCAGTCGTCCTTACCCATCTGACCTGCCCAGCTTCCATCAAGCCCTGGGTCAGACCTAGGGAAAGTGAATGGCCCACAGTTTGCACTACCTGCCTGCGAGCTGGCTGGCAGGGTATGCAGAGTCCTGGGCAGAGTGCCTATCCCAGCTGCCTGGAGGGAGAGAGGAAAAGGGACTGTAACAGGAGTCACAGGGTCATTCCCTGCCCAGTGCCACCTAGGGCTTCACTGAGTCAGAGCTGTTTGGAGAAGACTCCAGTTTAGGCCGCTAGAGGGGTGGGGGTGGCTCTTTGTAGAGGTGAGAGGTCAGGTTTTACAGCTGAGGAGCCTACTTGTAATCCCAGCCAGGCATCTGCTGTGTGGATTCAGCCTTTCTGAGAACCAGAGTCCCAATCTATCCTCTGGAAGGCTCCTCATTGGAACAAGGCAGCCCCTGCATGACAGATGCCTGTTGGTGGTGGGTGCTGTCCCGGGAGCGGGGGACGACAACTCCACTCCCAGCACCGTGCTTCCATTCAGGTCCCTATCCTTACATACAGTTTCCCACTTCTCTAGGCCGCCAGGATGGGCTGCTGGGAAGGAGGGCCTGCCCCAGGCTATCTGTCCTGCACTTTTGGGGCCACCTCCCATCATACATGTGCTTTTCTGTCCAGGTCACTGTGGGCTGTCGCAGCTGCCCACTGGTGAAATTCTAATCCTAAGGCCCTTATGTCCCCCCTTTAATGCATACCTAAAGCAGACTGTGAGTCTATGTTTGGGGCTGCAGCACTATGCACACAGAAGGTGCTCAATAAATGACCCCTGAATGAGAGAAATTGCAGATGCCTCTACCATCAGGCTCACCCACCCTCTCACTCCCCTCCCCATAACCTCACTCTGGGGTTTGGGATCTATCCATTCCCACTGTGGGGTTAGCCAGGCTAGAAACAGAGCGAGACAGGCAGGCAGCAGGAGAGACTCTGTCCCCAGGGCCTTAGGGCTTCCCTCAGCACCTCCTGTAGGGTGGAGTCAGAGGCCCTGTCACCTGGCTTCCAGGTATCTGGGTGTCTCACATAGCCCCACGTGGCTCAGGCCATGTGAAAAGCCTAGGTCTGTCACAGATAGCCTTGGGTCCTCCTCTGTCTCCACCCCTCTCTGATCCTCTGTCTCTAATTTCTAATGCCCTGCCCTGCCCTCTCCCTGGACGCTTCCTCTTCCAGACTCTCCTGGCTCTCACTTCCTTCACGCCTCCTCTCTCACGCCTTCTTTTCTGACTGCCTGCCACCCTGACCCCTGCTTTCAGTCATTGTGTATTGTGAGGTCTGGATTAGAAGATGGGGCAAGGAGGCCTGGAAGCAGACTGCATCCCTGGTGACTGCTGGCTCCAGCCTTCCGAGCCTTCCCCTCCCATCTACAGAGGGGGGCTCCATCAACAGCCCTCCTCCCTGTAGAAGGACTGGGGTGGGTGCCTCTGGGGACCAAAGCCACACTTGGGGACCTTCAGCAGGACTGGGGGGTGGGATCCTTATTAGCACAGCCAGGGGCCAGGCAGGTAGACTGGGTGAAGGGAGGAGGTCTCCTAGCCACAGTGGGGCTGGGGGACAGGAGTGAGAGGGTGAGTGAGCCTGATGGTAGAGGCATCTGCAATTTCTCTCATTCAAGGGTCATTTATTGAGCACCTTCTGTGTGCATAGTGCTGCAGCCCCAAAGCATAGACTCACAGTCTGCTTTAGGTATGCATTAAAGGGGGGACATAAGGGCCTTAGGATTAGAATTTCACCAGTGGGCAGCTGCCACAACCCCCAGTGACCTGGACAGAAAAGCACATGTATGATGGGAGGTGGCCCCAAAAGTGCAGGACAGATAGCCTGGGGCAGGCCCTCCTTCCCAGCACCTTGGCTTCTCTGTGCTTCAGTGTCATCATCATCTACCTTCTCAGTCACAGAGGATTGGAGCAGATGTGTGCCTGGCACTCACAGCACTGTGACATATATCAACTGCAGAGCAAATGTCATTGGTATTATTATGGCACGTGCCTTGGCTTGGCCCAGGAGTGATGATTCCAGGGCTAGGCCTGGGTCCACATTGTGCTGAGCTGGCCAATTGTGCGTGTGTCTGCCATTCATTCTTGGAGGTCATGTTGCAGGCTGTGAGCTGGGAGAATTTACACCATGGAAATTGATGAATGATACTAAACAAGCTTTTTTGTTTGTTTGTTGTTTTTATTTTTGTTTTAGGAGACAGGCTTTCTTCGTGTAGCCCTCGCTGTCTTGGAACTAGCTCTGTAGACCAGACCAGGGTGGCCTGGAACTCACAGAGATCCACCTCCAAGCAGGGCTTTTAGGAAAATGGAGGACCTCAGGCAGGCAGGCAGGCATGAGCAGAGTGGGTGCATGCCTGGAGACTTGCACCCAGGAGGATATCACTTAGCCCTGGTGGCCATCTCAGACCATGGCCCCATGATAGTCTCATCATGATGAGGCTGTGGCCAGAGCTTCAGTGTGTGCCTCGCCTCTGTGCAGCAGAGCTTGCTCGGAACAGATGTATTTCAAGAAGACGCCCCTTGTGTGAGGATTCAGCCCCTCCTGGCTTACTCAAGCTGTGTTTTGTGCAATGCTCAGCCTACACAACCTGTGGTGGCCAGCCAGGAGGACAGTGTTTCTCTGCAGGCCTGTGTCGATGCGCAGTTCTGGGGTTAGCAAGCTGTCCTTTGTACGTGTGAGGTGCGAGGGGAGGACCAAAGCCTTTAGAGAGGTTTTGGGATGGACTCTGCGACTAGAGGAGAAGAGTGTTCTGGGGAGAAGTTGATGGTAGCAAAGGTGTGGAGGCATAGCTCAGTCTAACCTGGGCCTGGGAGACCCTAGGGTGCTGAGCCGACAGAAGAAGGGGTGCTGAGAACGGCCCCTCGGAAACTCTGCTGGAGCAGGAGAAGTATGTGTAGGTCCACTGAGATCACAAGCCCGAGTCTTTTTAAAACCGTTTCCATGAGACTAAGAAGCTCCCGTAGAAAGTTTTGGGTTTTCTCCCGAATCTCAGTCCCTGGAGTCATGAGGCTTGAGTCCCCTTCCCCCCATTCAAGCTCAGGTTGCTCAGAGGCAAAAGTTATTGAAGCCAGTGGTGGGCCGTATGTGAGAAGGAGCGACATTGATGCAAATCTTGGGTCCAGGGTGGCCTGCACTTTCCTCCTTGTTAGAGCTGCAGAGCCATCCTCACCCTCTGTTTAAGAAATGTAGGCTGTCAGCTGAGCCACGTAGAGGAGACACTGGATCCAGGCGGTTGTGGAGTACGGAGCGGGTGCTGTAAGAGAAGGCTGCCTCCTAGTGGTAGTTGCTGCTTTGGGACTGGGCTGTGTGGAGCCCTGTGCCACAGTTGAGTTGTGTGGGGAGAGTGAGGCTTAGAGGTGAAGCTTCCTGCCCAGTGAGCAGCAAAGCTGTGGTCCTGTGCTCAAACATGTGAGGATGGATAAGTGAGCAAGTTGAGGAGTAAAAAGATCAGAGGTTGTGGATGAATGAACGAGGGAGTGGCTCCAACCCTGAGGTCCCTCAGGAACCCTGGCCAATGGCTTCTATTTTACACTATAGAGCAGTGACGTAGGGGCCACAGAGGGGAGGCCGAGAGCCCCCTGACACCCGCCTCCTCGCTTCTGCCGCAGCCCCGAGCCATGATGAAGACCTTGTCCAGTGGGAACTGCACGCTCAGTGTGCCTGCCAAGAACTCCTACCGAATGGTGGTGTTGGGCGCCTCGCGCGTGGGCAAGAGCTCCATTGTTTCCCGATTTCTCAATGGCCGCTTCGAGGACCAGTACACGCCCACCATCGAGGATTTTCATCGAAAGGTGTACAACATCCACGGGGACATGTACCAACTGGACATCCTGGACACCTCTGGCAACCACCCATTCCCTGCCATGCGCAGGCTGTCCATCCTCACGGGTAAGGCGATTGAGGGGACAGGACAGCTGGTCTGCACTTCTGTTTAGGGAAGTTGCTTCTTGCCAGGTGGTGGGGCCCACAGCACCATCTGCCTATGGCTGCCCTGCCACTTCAGATCAAGACCCTTAGTGACTGATACTCTTTAACAGCCATGGGCCTGGCCCTTGCTTAGAGCTTGGCATGTGTTTACCCTTCACAGCTAGCCCACGGGACAAGTGTTTGCTGTCATTTTACAAGGGGGAAACTGAGGCAGAGAGGTTAAGTGCCTTCGCCCAGGTGGAGGCACAGCTCATGACTGCTGTTGAGGGACCTGCCCTGTGGCCTATCTGCCCTGCTGGGAGCAGCATCTGGAGCAGGGCAGGAGCGAGGGTCACCAGGGGCTTTCTGGGCTGTCGTGGTTGTTCCTTGAAGCCAGCCTTCAGTTGATCCATGTCTCTAGTGTGACCACTGTGGGCTCCCGCCATGCCTTGAGCTGCATCCCTGGACAGAGACAGGAGCAGGGAGCACCAGGAAAACAACCCTCAAGGATTGGGGCTATAACTCAGGAAAGTTGCTGTTTAAGAACAAGGACCAGCATTTGATCCCCAGCACCCACACCAAAACTGGGTATGGTGGTGAGCACCTGCTGTTCCAGCACTGGGGAGGCAGAGACCGCGGGATCCATGGGCCTTGCTGGCCAGCCAGCCTAGCCTGATCACCAATCCTAGATCAGTGAAAGACTCTCAAAAAATAAGGTGGATGGTGCCACAGGAACAGCACACAATGCTCGTCGACACATGTGCACACAGATACAAATACAAAAGTGACAATTTATAAAACATTCCCATTGAGAGCCCCATATACTGCCCCCTTTCTTCCCACTTGGGCTATTTTAGATCCCTGTGCTAGGCTGCCTTCTGGCCATGGAACTCCCTCTTCAGGTCACCTTTTCTGTCCCAGACTGCTCATGGGGCCCCCTCCATCCCAGATTTTGAGAGGGAGCATCTTGCTTAAGGAACCCAAGGTGGGCCTGGGTTCAAATCCTGAGCCTGCCTCTGTAGCATAGTGGTGTCATTGTCAGGGTCTTTGTGACCTAGCTCCACATGTAGCTTTGAAGACAGGAGGGTGTAGGGCAGGTCCTTGCAAAAGGTGAGTGTTGTGTGGGAGAGCTCTTCCTATGTGGGAGGGGATTGGATGCCTCCCCTGGTAGAAATGTGCATACGTCAATGCTAATTTTCAATTACACAAGAGGTACAAAGGCAAGCTTTCCATCAGATAATGCGTATTAGGCACACGTCCCCCATCCCAGCCTCTGACTTACAGGTGGCCACATAAACCGTTGCCAGCACCAGTGCACTGGCACTCGTTCTGTACCCTCTGAAGGCATGCGCTTTCGTCTGTTTCCTGTGTACTGCATTCCAAGCACGTCTGTCTGTTGCTTTGCTTGCTCACCAGCCCAGGCAAGGCCTCATTTTCCAGCCTGGTTCTGGGTACAAGAGATGCTCAGGGCTGCCCATTCCCACCAGCTTTTCTGCAGCTGCTGGCCTGCTGGCCGGGCCGGGCTCCAATGCCCGGCATTTGCAGTCTCAAATTTGGACACTTGGAGGATGAGGCTTGGCAGCAGGAGCCAGAGCAGCTGGCAGTCGAGGCCCCATGTCATTCTTCACCCCAGCCCTTTGCTCACCTCCCTAGAGACCAGTGTATGCAGGCCCAGGGGCAGGTGGGTGGGCTAGAGTAGGATGCTGTGCTTCTGAGCCCTACCTACTAGCTCATGCTGGGTGTGTGTTGTCACTGAAGGAGACCAAAATGTGCTTGTAGAGGCCAGAGAGGAGGCAACACTCACAAGCTATGATGCTCTGCTGGACCCAATGGCTGGCCCACTGTCTGCAAATCAGAACCACACTCAGGGCTGAAAGCTGAGGGGAAATGTAAAGATGGAAAGGTCTTGGAGGATGAAATTGTTGCTCTGTGGCGATTGACCTTGAACTGCAGCTGGAGGCTGCTTCACATACCTGTGACCCTTCTGGAGTGTGCCTGAATCGCTGTCAGACTTATGGCCCTGTTAGTGTGTTGCAGTGGATGTAGTGTGGTGGGTAACCATTCCAGCTTTGATCTGGAAGTTCCAACCCCCATTGAGGCTTCGGTAACTGTCACGCCTACAAGGCAGGGCCAAGGGAGGACCCCGAAGACCCGAGATCCGGATGCGCTGGCTCTCTTGGTACCTGGACCCTAGACGCTGGAGGTAGACCAAGCAGAGTTCTCCAGAGAACACTGCCGGACTGCGCTACACCTTTCCCAGACCCTGTAACCTATCCCTTCACTTGTAAGTTACCCCACAAAATTAACCTCCCTTTTAACTACGTGGAGTGGCCTTAATAATTTCACCAATAATGTAGTGTGGGCCACGATCTCTTACTTATTGAATGGTTCACCCTAGAATCAGAGAGTATGTCCTATGTGCCAGGCATGGTTCACCCTAGAATCAGAGAGTATGTCCTATGTGCCAGGCATGGTTCACCCTAGAATCAGAGAGTATGTCCTATGTGCCAGGCATGGTTCACCCTAGAATCAGAGAGTATGTCCTATGTGCCAGGCATGGTTCACCCTAGAATCAGAGAGTATGTCCTATGTGCCAGGCATAGTCCAGGTGAGAGACAAATCAGGTCACAGACTTGGCCCAGCCACATTTGAGTTGTGTGACCTTGGGCAGGTTGTTTGCCTTTTCCGAGCTTTAGTTGGCTCACCCATAACAGAAGAATAATAAAATCTTCCCCATGGAGGTATTATGGAGTGCCAAGGAAACAGCAGGTGTGCACAGTGCTCTACTCCCAGCGGGTGCCTGCTCTCATGAGCAATATTGATGCCTGACATGGCTGAGTGTGTGCCGCCCGCATGCATTAGCTCTAACCACCCTCCTGCAAGGCAGCTTCATTCACATGCTGTGGGAGGGGAAATCCAGGAGCTCGGAGATTAAATGGACCCTTCAAGGTCACACAGTTGCTAAGTTGAGGTAAGATGCAAACCCAGACCCCCTCTCACCAACACCCTCTGCCACACAGAGATACCAGTGCTTGCCGAATTCCTACTGTGGGGCAAGGTACTGGAGCCAGCTCTTGGTGTGGCTGAGTAAGTGCACAGGAGTTCTCTGAGAGTTATTGTGTAACCCCACAGGGATGGCTGGGCCCTCCACAGTCCCGTAAGGAAACAGGAGGAGGACTGACCATATCTGAGTCCAGCTAGGTGTGCTGCACTTTACCTACAAGCCCCTCTGAGCCTTGACTCTCTTCCCAGGCAGATGCCCTGAAGAGCTTCCCAGTCATGGTTTGCAGGGTTCCTAAGTGGCAGCTGATGGGACCATGCTGAGGGGTACCAGGGCAGCCTGTCAGTTGACTGCCTGCCTTGTTCCCTCCACAGGAGATGTCTTCATCCTGGTGTTCAGCCTGGATAGCCGGGAGTCCTTCGATGAGGTCAAGCGCCTCCAGAAGCAGATCCTGGAGGTCAAGTCCTGCCTGAAGAATAAGACCAAGGAGGCAGCAGAGCTGCCCATGGTGATCTGTGGGAACAAGAATGACCACAGTGAGCTATGCCGCCAGGTCACTGCCATGGAGGCCGAGCTGCTGGTGTCTGGGGATGAAAACTGCGCCTACTTCGAGGTGTCGGCCAAGAAGAACACGAACGTGAACGAGATGTTCTATGTGCTGTTCAGCATGGCCAAGCTGCCCCACGAGATGAGCCCCGCACTGCACCATAAGATCTCCGTGCAGTATGGTGACGCCTTCCATCCCCGGCCCTTCTGCATGCGCCGCACCAAGGTCGCAGGTGCCTATGGCATGGTCTCACCCTTTGCCCGCCGCCCCAGTGTCAACAGTGACCTCAAGTACATCAAGGCCAAGGTCCTACGGGAGGGCCAGGCCCGAGAGAGGGACAAATGCAGCATCCAGTGAGAGGCAGGGACATTGGGGAGTGCCTTAAGGGAGGTGGCTGAGGATTCCCACTGCCCACATCCCACGGGGGCCCTAGGCATGTAAGCTGTGCTTGCTCTCCTGATTCCTAGCCACCTCCTGTGAGTCCTTATGTCTGTGGCTCCTTTGTGGTAGGACAGAGACACGTTTGGGGACATGTCAGCACTCAAGCTCAGACAAACTTTCAGTATCATTAGAGTAGAAGGAATGCAGAAGGACCACGAGTCTTGTGTCAACACAAGATGCTCAGTACAAGTCACAAGATGAGAACATCCTAGCCAGATGTCCCAGCCAGATTCCCTGGTGGCCTCTGCTCCCTCTGCGTGGTCTCTATGCTTCTGGAGAAACTGCCCTTCTGGGTCTTCAACTCCTGCCCTCTGGCCCAGCTGTGTACACACCCCTCCAGGTTAGCCGCTGGTCACCCTAACATTGAGCCGAGGGAGAGTGAGAGGGAGAGGGAGAGAGGGAGAGAGAGAGAGTGTGAGCGTGTGTGTGTGTGTGTGTGTGTGTGTGTGTGTGTGTGTGTGTGTGTGTGAGAGAGAGAGAGAGAGAGAGAGAGAGAGAGAGAGATGTCCATGTCCCTCAGACCACTGCCTCCTGGCTCCTCTCCCAGACTCCTCCATATGACATTGCTCTTTGTTTTGAAGTTGTTTCCTGTTCTGTTTGCAGTAGACATGAAGTCCTTGTATGGTAAGAGCCCAGTGACCTGCCTTTGGCTGGGCTCCCCAGTTCACACCCATTGCTTTAGCTGTGGTCCCCTTCCTCCATGCTCCCAGGCAGGCTGTGCAGCTAGATCCTGCCCTGTGTTTAGCGGCTTACAAAAGAGCCCACAGTGCCATGGTCACAGAGGTAAGGGTGTCTCCCCTGCCCTCAGGAGAGGATGACTGAGCCTTGGGGACAGTGACTCTCTAAACCCCTCCACATGCCTAGCTAGATCAGGACAGCTCTGCCTGGATCCAGCTTGCTTCTGCTGCAGTTCCTCAAGCATCTGTTGAACACCCACTGGATACTGGGTTCCTTGTGTGCTAGGCAACAGAGAGTGACGAGTCTGTGTGTCCCCAGCTCTGGCCTCTGCCCACCTGTGGTGCCCCTTCTGCACACACAGCTGTTGGAGGAAGTGGAACAGCCGAGAGCCCAAGCTGAGCCTAGGATAGACTGGCAGGAAGACTTGTGGGTCTTTCCCTAGTGCTCAGGCTATGCTAGGTACTTCTGTCTCCAACATAGGTGTGACAGTGAGGGATGATTGTGACCCTGAAAACCAAAGGCCCTGCTCAGCTCTTAATACACATGTTGTTTTAGAACCGAGGCTGGCCCATTGAGACGGCTCAGTGGGTAAAGGCACCTGCTGCTGAGCCGTTCAACCTGAGTTTGATCCCTGGAATCACATGGTGGAGGGAGAGAACTAACTTCTGTGAGGCATTCTTTGACTTACATGTCCTTCATGGTACCCGCATACACACAAAGTAATGAAGCTAATGGTTACTAAAAACTGTAGGAATCTTCTAGTGCATTCCCTCAAGGCCCAGAAAGCATGAGTGACTAGCCCCAGGTCACATACTGCAAGCTGGGCCAGCCATGGGCCTTCCACGCACACCGTGTTTCACCTCTCTTCCTGGAGCTCCCAGTGGCAGGGATTTGGACCATGTTACACACCCCTCCCCCAGTGATCACAGGTTACCCATGGATGCTGTGTACATCGTCATCCTTAATGCACCTCAATTCCAGCTCTGCACACCAACCCCCAGGCCTGGTCCTGTGTCTTCACGTCAACACCTGCTGCTCAGTACAACTGCCCAGTACCTGCTTCTGTCCTGCAGTAAACACCCCCCTGCCCCCGCCCACCAGCCCCAACCCTGAGAGTATACCAGGTACTTGTCCAGGCAGGTGTATGGCTTAGTCCCACCCGGTCAAGCTTCACTGCTTGGACCTCTGTGTACACTATCAATTAAAGTTGGTTTGTTAGCAACCATGCCCTTGATGTTTGTTTTCTATGTTTCCATGGGAGGGGCTTTTCCCTAGGCCAAGGTCTCCCTGCATACCACACTGTCTTCAAGTTCAAATTTGGAAGAATGAAACCCAATTAAGGAGATTGGTCCTGGACCTGCTATGGTATGTGCTCTGAGTGGTCATTAGCAGTGATGTCTCCAGGGGTTATTGACCAGTGTCTGCAAAAATTGTTGATTATCCAGACTGCCTGAGGAGCCAGGCATTGTGGCATATGCCTATTGTCCTGGCTATTTGAGACTCTGTGGCAGGAGGATTGCTAGACTGACCAGTCTGGCAACGTGAACCTGCTGTTTCTAAATAATGAAAAAGACAGGATTGCTCCAGGTCTCTGCTGGGAGGGACAGAGATGCTGTTTAGCATCTTCCAAGACACAGGACACACTCCATAGGATTGGTGGGCAGTGTCACCCAGAAGGCCAGCGTGGGACAGGGCCAGCACCTGTCAATGTGTGGCTTTCTGAATAGCAAGAACAGTGAGTCTTTGTGAAGTGAGAAGGGATGGGATGTGGTTGGGGACGGCACCTGGAGGCACAGATGCCCGATCCTGAATGACCCCATGAGCGGTGTTTCTGTGCCTGAGTGCCGCTCTCTGGGCAGAGGGAAGGGCAGGTAGGTAGCTGCTGCGCACTCACCTCAAGCACATTCTTGGCCATTTCCATTTTCTGTGGTCTGTATGTTCCGTAATGATTTGGGCCCAGAGCTCAACTGCTTGCCCAGTAGACATGTGAACCAAGTTTCTGGACCATGGTTGCTTGACCCCTGCATGGATGAGGACAGAATTTTGTGTCTGGGAGAATGTTTTTCAGCCTGACAGGTGACTGTGAGCACAGCAGGATGCCAGGGCCTGCAAGTGGAGATCAGAGACTAGGACAAGGACTCAGGCCACAGGGCCAGGAACTCAGTGAGGAGCCACAATCGCTACAGAGACACTTGCAAGCAAAGTAGGTTAGGCTGTGCTGGGGTGTGGGGAGTCTTGCCCACTCGCCTGGATCCAGCTCCTCTAGCCCTTGCCCACACTTCACATGGTTCTGAGTGTGGCACAAGCCCCCTGAGCACTTTCTAGGTCATGTCTTTTGTCGAATGAGACATGGAAGTGACCACCCCCCGGTGCTATAGTCACTGTCTCGGCTATCCCATAGGGATATCCCATAGCTGTGCCTTCAGTGTCCTGTCCCATGTATCCCATTAAAGCTAGCCCATTGCCACCATTGCATATCCTCCATGTGGGACTTTGGGCAAATCCCATCTCCACAAACACCATCTACAAACAGGTGGTGGGCAGGGACCAGCTGGGCCAGATGTGCACAGAACAGCCCTCCAAGCCCTGATTCTGCAAACATTCCCATTGCATAACCAGAACCTGCTAGCTCCATGCCCTGTTTCCCTCCTCCCCTCTTCCTACCCATGCTCCCTCCTCCATCTTCTTTTCACTCCTCCCTGCTCCCACAGTTCTGGCACTAGAATGAGGTTAACAGTGAGAAAGACATCTTCAATCTACAACAGGGTAGAATGAATGGTTAGGAGGCTGCCCCTGCTGGAGAGACTGAGGCTGGCCTGAGAACTTCATGCCAATTAAGTCCCCTGATCTCTAAAATGAATCCTGAGAATTAGGTTTTGGAGAAACCTGTACCCTGAACAGCAAGTACTTGTCTGTTCCACCTCCTTGAACCTGTCATTCAGGAGAAAATCCAGTCTGTGTCATGGCCTGGTGGAGGCTGATGAGAGCCTGCCTGCAGAGGCTGCTGGGAGTTGGGAGGAGAAGGGATTTGACCGTTGCTGAAGACCTACTGTTCACTAAGCACATGCTGACCTCTGACCTGTGTTCTCTCATTGGATCTTCCTGGCAAAGCAACATAGAAGGACTGGATCCCTTTCTAATAGTTGAACAGAGAGGTAGGGTTGCTTGCTTGATGTTATACAGCAAGTAAGCAGGAAAACTGGGTTCATATAATCTGATTTCAGAGCATTTTGTTCTTCAGGGGTTTTGTAACTGAATGGCTGACGGTCTGCTGTCTGGAGAAGGGTTGGCAGGTGGCAGCAGAGAGGTGATGCACCTAGTAAGGTAGTGCCGAGGCTCCTTCCATTTCTAGGCTCTCCATGTCCAGGACCTTGTCACTATTTGTGATGCAGAAACCACATTCAGGTTCTATTGGGGCATCAGGAAAGAGAACACAGGAGTCACATGCCTGCACATCACATGGGGACTCATACATCATTGCAAGCCCCTTGTTGGGAAGGTCTTTGTCAAAAGCTTCAAACTCTGGTGACATTTACTGTGGAGGAGGAAAGAGCCCTAGGTGGCCTGCCTGCCATTGCCCAGTGCCATAGATCCAGACCCAGGACACTGTACACAGTTTGAATTCCAATAAGATCTCAGCTCCACCATCACACAGTAGACCCTGTCCTCTGTGACTTAAAAAACTACTACTATCATATATGTGGGAACGTGTGCCACAGCCCATGTGTGAGGGGTCAGAGGACAAAACAACTTGGTGGCATTGGTTCTTTCCTTCTACCTTTGTGTGGGTTCTGGAGATTGGATGCAGGCCATAACACATGTGTGGCAAGCACCTTTATGGGCTGAGCCATTTCGCTGGCCTCCTTTTAATGTGGTTGCAGGTGTGTATGTACCCGTGTGTGGAGGCCTGAAGACCACATAGGTTAGTCAGGGTTTCTGTTGCTGTGAAGAGACACCATGACCATGGCAACTCTTAAAAAGGAAACATTTAATTGTGGTTGCTTGCTTACAGTTCAGAGGTTCAGTCCATGATGGTGGGGAGCATGGTGGCATGCAGACAGATGTGATGCTGGAGCTGAGAGTGCTTACATCTTGACTCAGAGGCAACAGGAAGTTGACTGACTGTCACATTGAATGAAGCTTGAGAAAAAGACCTCAAAGCCTGTCCCTACAGTGACACACTTCCAACAGAAGGTGTGGCCCAGATTAAAAATGTGCCCTCCAGCCTCAACATCTGGATTAAAGGCATGGGTCTTCCATCCTCCTCCAAGAAGACCACACTTCCTCCAACAAGTTCACACCTAATCGTGTCACTTCCTATGAGCTTATGGAGACCAAATACATTCGAACTACCACAGGCACCATCCCCCTTATTTTTAAGTCAGAGTCTCTCACTGGCCTGGAGATCTCCACATGGGCTAGGCTTGGCTGGCCAGTGAGCCTCAGGAAATCTGTCTCCACTTCCCAGTGCTAGAATTACAAGTATGTACAACCACACTTTTACTTGGGTTCTAGGGATCCAACTCAGAGCCTCAAGCTTACATGGCATGCTTTACTGACAGCCATCTTCCCAGCCTCTACATAGATTTAAAAAAACTGCATGGAAATACTGTGATAGCCTAGTTCCTCTAAAATTTGCATGGGTGCAGTTGCCGCTCTTTTTTCTCTGTAGTGTCTTCATGACTCAGTTTCCACCTTTGTAAAGTAGGTAGATTATATTGTCATGCCTCTGGATGATTATGCTGGTTGAAAGAATTAATACTTGTAAAATGCTTAGTTCAGTGCTGGTGGTGAGACTAGGGCCCAGCTAGGTGGCCAGTGATTCCAACAGGACCCACGTCTGACCAGCATTGGCTCTAGGTGGCCATGCACATGTTGCTGTCTTTGAACTTTTGTTTCTTCCTGAAGGGACTAGCTTCAAACAAAGGACCAATGAGAAGGGTTGAGAAGTCAAGCTGGGCAGGGGTTTCAAGAATGCCCTGCCATCCAAGGCCCCAGGCTTTCTGCTGTGGTGGGGGGGTGGGGGTTTTAGTTCTCAAAGATATCCCCTCCCCAGTGGCTGAGGTGCCTATTTAATGTTTCAAAGTGGACACTGGCTGCTGTGGGATGGTCTGTATGTCAAGTGTGTTGCTGATTGGTCAATAAATAAATCACTGATTGGCCAATGGCTAGACAGGAAGTATACGTGGGACAAGGAGGAGAATAAAGCTGGGAAGTGGAAGGCTGAGAGAGAGACACTGCCAGCTGCCATGATGACAAACAGCATGTAAAGATACCGGTAAGCCACGAGCCATGTGGCAAGGTATAGATTTATAGAAATGGATTAATTTAAGCTGTAAGAACAGTTAGCAAGAAGCCTGCCATGGCCATACAGTTTGTAACCAATATAAGTCTCTGTGTTTACTTGGTTGAGTCTGAGCGGCTGTAGGCCAGGCAGGAAAACTTTAGCTACAAATGGCGCCCAACATGGGGCAAGAGTTTCCACCTAAAACCTAAAAAAAGATTCTAAAATGGAACTAAAAACAACTTCCTAATTGTCTCTCTCAAATGAACAGCAGCTGCCGGTTTGAGCTACTGGTGGGTACCTAGTGTGCACGCTCGACCTGCCGCTGTATGGCGGGAATGAGGCCTCTGCAAGTGGCACATTAAGCTACATTGTGGATTTAGCCTTTGCTAGTACAAAACAAAAAAAGAGGTTTCTGGGCTACACGCTCCTTGGATAAAAGCATATACCCAGGATAGCTCCCAGAGCTGGCGGTAAACGTACCACCACCATGTTGGGAAGCTGAGGTGGGCGGAGCCAGCAGCCATAGCTCCGTTTCAGTCTTACTAATGCTGCAGTTTAAAGCAATAGATTCACAATAAGACAGATTCAGATGTAATAGTTTACAATGTGTGTAAAAGATACGTAGGCTTGAAAGAGACAAAAAAGGTGATATATACAGTTATAGAAACAAATACATAGTTTTAAAAAATAAAGTCTTTAAAGAGACAGTAAAATTAATATAAAAAATAAGCCACATAAAGATGAATATTACACAGAGAATCTGGATTGTGTTGTCTTTGGGATTTTTAACTGCAGAAAAATATTTGATTGTAAAAGCTGTTGAGTTAAACCAATGTGTATATTTTAAAGATACCTTGACTTCAAAATTTGGATGTAAGGATGTGTTGCCTTGGAAAGGAGGCTCTGCTTTTGTTTCCACAGAAAGCAAGAGGCTATGGAT